GCCTTTTAGAAGCTATTGCAACAGTCTCGAAATTGTTTGACCACAATCTCCCACTGCTTAAAACCCTGAGCTGGCCTTCTAGTGCTTATAAAGCCCAAGATCCTTAGCACAGCACTAGAGACTTTCCTGAAATGACTTACCTTCTCCCTGGCCTCGTCTCTTGTCATCTTGCCTCATACACTTCATACTTGAACAATACCAAACTGCTTAGGATCGATGGACTCTTTCTTGCTTTCCTCACTATTTATTCTTCAAAACTCCATTCAAATGTTATCTTTTTCCTGTGCCATCTCACAACCCCAACATTCTCTGCCCTGAGCCACCTCTTTACTTAGAACGGTGGTTCTCAAATATTTTCACCTGAAGGTTGCCTTGCATTCTTAAATTATCAAGGACCCCCAAAAGTTTTGTTTTATATAGGTTATATCTATTGACATTCACCAGATTAGAAATTAAAATTGTGAATGTTTAATTGTTAGTTCATTTAAGATAATAAGCCTGAAAAACATTTTCCAAAACAATTTAATGAAAGTCCATTTAATATCTAGCTTAAGACAGCTGGATTTTCATGTTTCTACATTTAATCAATTGTCCCTTGAAAGCTCCACTTATAAGAACTACAGACCTAAAGGACATCTGAGGGGTTGTGGGTAATCACATTGTACAGTGCTCCTTTTGTTTGCAAGTACCACAGGTCACAGAATGGGCTGGTTAGCATTACCTTTATTTCCTCACCATCTTGGTTGTTGGTAAGACTTAAAAGTGAGACCACCAGGGGGCACCCGGATTTGAACCGGGGACCTCTTGATCTGCAGTCAAATGCTCTACCCCTGAGCTATACCCCCTCTGCTGGGAAGGGTGAGATTACAGCTTAATTGTAATGTTGACTGACCAGACCTGTCTCAGCTGATTAACAGTAGGTCAGTATTTATGACCAACTGCTTCAGGTTTCCCGGAGTGATACTAAAGAACTAAAAAGATTACAGAGGCAATAAGGACCCAAGGGCTGGGAGAAGAGAGCAAAGTCCACTTTGTCCTGTGCTTGAAGGTGCTGTGGGTGTGTGCGATGGGAGTCCTCTCCTGTATTAACTACAGCCTTTTCTGCCTCTGGCACCTGGGAATTCTTAAAGATTAATTTCTATGCTGCCTGCAACCTGAGTTTCAGCCCAGGACTCTGCACGCGAGAGGAAGTGCTTCCCTTGTCTTTCCCAAGACCCTCTCTGCTCCTGTACCAGAGGCGCCTCTATTGTTTCCATTCTCTCAGCATCTTCAGTCACTTCCTCCTCTTCCTTGGCTCCTTCAAATATCAACAGGCTTCCCCTAAATTAAAAAAAAATCCTTCCCTTAACCATGATTGCCTGTGCATTTCTTCTTTCTCACTACCAATTTTAAAGAAAGTCTGTACTTCATTTTTCTCATTGTTAACTCTCTGTCCCCGCAGTTCTGCTACTCTCTGTATTTGCTTTGACTGTCACTTATTTTTCTCCCCTGGGTGTGTATATATATTGTTTCACCAACTAGACTGCACGTTTTTTGAGGGTAGAATCATGTTGCATTTTTTTTTTGGTATTCCTCATAATAGCTGGTGCGGTGTATGTTTCACTTTAAGCCTTGGGTTGTACTTGCAGGCCAAGACACAATCCTAATTAAGCTCAACAATCTGATTCCACCAAGCCTGCACCCAAAGCTGCTGAATGTTGTTGGAGGAAGGCTTACAAGTTCGTGTCACTCCAGCCTCTCCGTGTAGCACTCCTTTATCACTGGCTGACTACGTTCACTTTCCCACCCTCCAAAGTGACTACTTCACATACTTCCCCTGTCTCAAACCTTTCGCACCTTGTCTCCCCTCCCCACTCTCTTATCTGAAGAGTTTGGCTCTTCCTTTTTGGAGAAAATGAGAATCAGTCAGAAGCAGTGTTATATTGGTACATGGCTAACAAACGGTTCTGGCGGACCTGATTTCCCAAGGTGCAAATACTCCCACCAGCCGATTTTAAGCTACCAAAGAGAAGTCAACTGGCTTTTAAAATTCCTGAAAATTTAACCATTGGTTCGCACTGGATGGTATGAGCTGAATCTAGCACACACTGGAATCAACTACTTCCTTCACCACCTACTAACTATACACTGATGACTCCCAAAATTTTATTTCCAACCTGGACCTCTCCCTGAATTCCAGAATTAACTGGATCTCCCACTGCATACTTAACATCTCTTAGAGGGCTATGGAGCACTTCGAACTTAACATGTTGACCCCATCCTAGAATGTGAAGTCCATGAGGATAGGAAGCTGTACTTCATTACGTTCTCTGCAAGTGTTTTAAAAAGAAACCCTTAAGCCCTGGCCGGTGTGGCTCAGTTGGTTGGGGGTCTTTCTGTTCACTGAACGGTTGCTGGTTTCATTCCCGGTCAGGGCACATTCTGCAGTTGCGGGTTGAATTCCTGGTAGGGGGCGTGCGGAAGATAGCTGATGGATGTTTCGCTCTCACATGGATGCTTCTCTCTCTCTCTCTCTCTTCCTCTCCCTTTCTCTAAAAATCAATAAAAAAGATTTAAAAATAAATAAAAAGAAACTCTTGATTTTTTTCTAATTGTACTTCTTTCCCAGTCTTCTTTATTTCGGGAAATTATATCACCATCCACCCAGATAGTAAAGATAAAAAAATAAAAGAGTCATTCTCGATTCCGCTCATCCCTTCATCTTCCCCAAGCCATCCAACGTTCAGGAAGCACGTGGCTCCCCTGCCTGATGCTGGCACTCCTCTCCGGCTCTGCTGAATCGTGGCCTACCACGTCCCAACCCGGTGGTCAGTATGCGACCTTACACGATAAAAGGGACTTTGCAAATGTGATTAAGTTAAGGATCTCGAGATGGGGAGATTGTCCTGGATTATCTGGGTAAACTCAATGTAATCACAAGGGTCCTAATAAGAGAGAGGCAGGAAGATCAGAATCAGAGACAGAGGGAAGATGCAAGCGTGGAAACGGAGATCAGAGGGTGAGAAGATGCTACCTACCCTACTGGCTTTGCGGATGGAGGAAAGGACCATGAGTCAAAAAGTACAGGAGGCCTCTAGAAGCTACAAAAGTCAAGGAAGCTGATTCTGTCCTAAAGCCTCCAGAAGGACTGCAGGCATGCCAACACTTTGATTTTAGCACAGTAAAGTTGCCTTTGAAATTCTGCCTTCCAGAACTATAAAATAATACATTTGTGTTGTTTTAGCAAATAAGTTTGTGGTAATTTGTTATAGCGGCAATATGAAACTAATACATCACTGTACTTTAAGACATCACCACCATCTCTCACTTGCACTGTTGCGATAGCATCCTAACCTGTCTCTGTGTCCCCTCTTTTTCTTTTCTTTTATTGTAATGAGAACACTTAACATGAGATCTACCCTCTTAACAGATGTTTAAATGTATAATGCAATGTTGTTAACTATAGGCACAGTGTTGTACGGCAGATCTCTAGAACTTATTCATCTTGCATAATTAAAACTTTATACCCATTGGTTAGCAACTACCCATTTCTCTCTCTTCATCCCTGGCAAGCACCATTCTGAAACTCTGCCTCTATAAATTTGACCACTTTAGATACCTCATATAAGTGCAATAATGCAGTATTTGTCCTTCTATGATTGGTTTATTTCACTCTGCATAATGTGCCATGTCGTCACATTTTGCAAGATTTTCTTCTTTTTAAGGCTGAATAATATTCTAGTGTATGTACTCTCTATGTCTATTTTGGACTTCGTATAAATCTTTTTTTTTTTTTTTGATGGAAGATTATTTAATTCTTCAAGAATCTAAAAGCAGACCAAATGTGTTTTGCTGTGAATACTTTGTAGTGACAAAGGGAAGCAGGGATTGGGTTTAAATTTTTAAATAAAAGGATCAATACACTGATCAAAAGGTAAAGAAGGCAAGAATAAAAAATATGGAATGCCTCATGAATTTCCATGTCATCCTTGCGCAGGGGCCATGATAATCTTTGTATTGTTCCAATTTCAGTGTCTGTGCTGCCGAAGTGAGCGCCTATAAATCTTTCCCCCAGGAGTGTGGGTGACGGTTTCAAATCCCTCTGCTCAAAGCTGTCCATTGCTGGCTTTTCATCCATTTAGAGTAAAATCCAAACTCCTTGTCCTGGCCCTCAAGGCCCTCTCAGGCCCTCTCCAGCTCTCTCGAATCTCCCTCTGCTTGTCCACCCTCCCCCGGCCACTCTGGCCCTAGGGTCTTTGCAGCAGCCTGCACAGAAAGGTCTTCCATGGTTCTCCAACCTGAAATAGCCCCCCTCATAACGTCCTAATGCAGTATCTTAATTTTTTGAAATTTATTTTAACATTTCCCTTATCACTACTGGGCATTTCCTTGTATTCACCTGTACATTTGTTTCTAGTCTGTTGGTGACGAGTCAGAGCCTTCGTGTCTTTCTTTCGAAAGTATGTTCCATACCCAGAGTAGGGCACATGGTAGTTGCTCAAGCCAGGGAAAGTCTCCAAGTGATGTGTTTGTACTCCTTTTAGAGAGACCGGGGAAGGATTCCCTATCCGGTTTTGCAAGAGATTGTTCTCTCCCTTCTGAGAGTACACAGGTAGGTAGGATCCTGGATAAAGAATTCAGCCTAGAGGCCCTGGCTGGATAACTCAGTCGGTTAGAGCATCATATACACAAAGGTTGAGGGTTTGATCCCTGGTGAGGGCACATATAAGAATCAACCAATGAGTGCATAAGTAAGTGGAACAACAAATCCATGTTTCTCTTTCTCTCCCCGGCCCCCCAAATCAGTAAATAAAAAATTAAAAAAAAAATTAACTTAGAAAAGGTGGATTGGTACCTAAGTTCACTTTTTCAAAGAGCCATATTTTCAGGTGGTCTTTTAATTTTGTCCCTCATCATAAGTGAATTCAATATCATTTAACCTAATTTTGAAGAAATAAACAATTTCAGCACAAAAAACTTAGGATTGGTATAAGAAGAATTTATCAAATACTTACCAACAAGGGGGCACAGTTCAGTGGTTAGAGCACTTGATTGCAGATCAAGAGGTCTCCAGTTCAAATCTAGGTGCCCTCTTACCTGTCCCCCACCTTTTCTCACAGTCATCCAATGTACTGCTTCCAAGCTTCCTGGCCCCCTCAGTAGAGAGATAGCCCACCTCCACTCTCAGTAGGTGGAAAGGAAACTCTTCCCATCTCTCAGACTGCCCGAGACCTATTGGTCCTGGAGCTGGGTGGGGCAATATGATTTTTGCCTTGCTTATACTCTCATCTGGAAGACTAAGAGAATGAATCCAAAGTTCAGTAGGTTTCTATGACTGCAAAGCTCAACACATAGACACAAGATAAAATGAAATGTGGACAGCTTTCTCCATATTAGCTCAAAGACAAGCCTTAGGCCTGATTACCTACAGGGGTAAGTTTGAGGCTTAGTGTTCAGGAAAGGGGTGAAAATTGGTCATACCTAGGGTATGGGCTTTGCACCAGGACAACAGCCCTGCCCACATCCAGCCTCAGACGCATCTCACAGTAATGGGAGCCATAGGGAAAAATGCACTGGAGTATTCCCCTGGGGCCTTGAGGAATGACACAACCAGATTCCGGGTTTAAAATATCGAAGATGCCCTCTGACCCAAGAAGCACGCCTCTCCCTTTTTCCTTTATTTTTCCTTTTTTAGGGCAAAAACCTACTTGGAGGGGCGGCCCTTACTCCCTTCAGATTTACTGTTTTCTTCTGACTCAGCATTGATACTGTAAGTGAACCAACCAACAAATATCTGTCCTTACCTTTAGGTTATGAAATTCTGCCCTCAGGAAACTTATGAAATAACTTGGAAAAATGGCTTTGTATTCCTAGTTTAGTGGTTCTCAAAGTGTGGTCCCCTGACCAGCAGCATCAGCATCACCTAGGAACTTGTCAGAAACGCAGATTATCTGTATTCCACTCCAGGTCTACAGAAAGGGAAACCGGGGGTGTTTTAACAAGCCCTCCAGGTAATTCTGAGGCACACTCAAGTTTGAGAACCACTGCATTAGTTTATGTCAGTTTGTGTTAGGAGGTAACTTTATTTTTGTAGATCCAAATGAGTGTATGGGTGTGCACGGGGCATTTTAACGTTCCCAAAAGTGCTTTGACTCTGCCTGTGTTATGAGCAAGCAAGAGGGAAGGGTGAACCCAGCACGTTCACGTCGCCGGTAATAAAGAAAGTTGAAGTTGGAGAAAGGCTGTGTCTGTGGGTTTCTTCCTCTTGACCCACCCACACCCCCATCGGAGACCGAATACCAACTTGGGGTAGTAACTTTGTCCTCGTGGCCGCGGAAATCCTGACGCTTCTGGCGCCCGCCACTGTGATGCGCAGTGGCTTACCTGACTTCCTCCTCCTGCTAGGTACAAAGCAAAACCGAAAGCTTTCCTCTAGGGCTGGAAAATGAGGAAGGGTTTTTTGAAAAATCGTTTCATTTTTCTTTGCAGATAGGACCCAGTGTTAAAATAAGAGTCAAGAAACATGGAACTAGGTCAGTTATAGGGAAGAAAAACCACCAAGGGGGCACCCGGATTTGAACCAGGGACCTCTTGATCTGCAGTCAAATGCTCTACCACTGAGCTATACCCCCCGCGCCGCTCCTGCGCCTGGAGATAGTTCTTTGGGTGCTAGGACACTGTTACACCGAGGGTAGGCAGTAAGAATTAGGAGAAAAGACCAAAGGAAGCAAGGGGGTCAAGCGGAAAGTGGAAAGTGCCCGAATCCGGGGAACCCCAGAAACGCTGCACGGCAGAGGCCGGGGGAGGGAAGAGCTAGTCAGGGCTGCGAGGCGCTGAGAACAGGCGGGAGGGACGGGTCCCGCCCAACAAAAGTGGGAAAGGAGAGGAGGGAGAAGGGAGCCTAACTGCGGTGTGGGGCAGGGGGTTCCCGTTCCTTCCGCAGGTTCCTGCCGGGTTCCGACGGGTACAAAGGAAAGTCCCCGAATCTGGCGAATCTGGTGAGGCGTTCGGGAGTGTTCCAACCCCACCCTGGACGGATGCGAGAGGTTTGCCCGCCTCCCGCAGCCCGGGCGCCCTAGATATCCAGCCAGACCGGCTCCGTGGCGCCTTCAGCGCGGGAAGGGCTCTGGGCAAAGCCGGGGTCTCTGCAGGGCGCCTCCAGCTTGGGAGCGCCGGGGCGCCAGGAGCCCTGGGTCTCACCTAGGCTCGCGCCCCAGGCCCATAACCCTGCCCTGCCGCGAACCCGCCTCCGCGCAGCCCCGGGTCTCCCGGGAAGCGCGCCTGGCCGCGCGCGCCCCT